CGGCGTTGCCTTCTTCCCGGAGGCCGTGGCCGGGCCGCGGTGGCGTCGAGTTGGCAGACGCGTGTGCACGGTGGGAGGAGGGGGGCTAAGCTCCGTGAACTCTCAGCCGTGGCGCGGCGGTCGCCGTGAGCGGGTCTTTGGTGGCGTGTTTGAGCGTGATTGGGGGACAGTGGGACAGTGGTCCCCGGCTCCTTACTCTGTGGCCTTGTCGTTTCGTATTAATGAGCTTTCACATTAACCTCCGACACGCGGCCGCGTCCACAGCAGCCGCGTGGGCACGTCTGAACCAACGTACTTGCACCCGGTTTCTCTTCCTCACGACTTCCTAACCAGCTTGCTTCCTGCCTGCATTTGATTTTACTTGAACCTTCGCTGTGGAGTCAGGAGCATGGAGCCCGTCCTGCTGACTGCATTGACGTGTTTGTTTTCAAGATCCGCAGCACGGGTTGGTTACGTCAGGCTGCTAACCAGGCACGTTAGGCTACTAACCAGTCCTCAGTTACTTAACTCCCGCAAGGAGGCCCTGGGGGTTAAAGCCAGCGCACACAGAGCCATGCACAGCGCCTCCGTCGCTCTGTGCTTTAAATTAAACCGGCCCGGACTGTCCCGTTACACCCAACCCCTCGGCCGGCACCGGCCTCGAGCACTCCGTCTTCTCGTGGCTGCCCGTTCCTAGGGTCGTTGCAAGATGGGGCTCGTTTGTTTGTTTTTAAGCCTCACCCGAGGATATTTTTTCATTGACTTTAGAGAGAGTGGAAGAGAGGGGGAAAGACAGAGAGAAACATCGATGTGAGAGAGACACATCAATGGGTTGCCTCCTGCACACGCCCCAACCAGGGCCCTGGGCGGGGAGGAGCCTGCAACTGAGGTACGTGCCCTTGACCGGAATCGAACCCAGGACCCTTTGGTCCGCAGGCCGATGCTCTATCCACTGAGCCTAACTGGGTAGGGCTGTCACCTTTGTTTTTAATTCTGTTTATTTAATCGCAAGCTTACATAACTTACTTTTTAATAATGGTCGTGTTTTGCTAAGTACAACAGGCTTGTCAAATCCTTGAAAACGCAGCCATCTGCCCCGGTCCTGGGCCCTGGCTGCTCGGAGCTGAGAGCTCAGTCCCAGGCTCTCGAAGGTGCGTCCGTGTCCCTTCCTGCTGGGCGGCTGCAGCCCTTCCCAGGGGCAGCGGGCAGCTGTGTGGCCGGCTCCCTCGCAGGGACGGGCAGGAAGCGGTGACTAGGCACAGGACGGGCCCAGCGCTCTCCTGGGCTGGCGCGGTGGCCACCACCTCGGGCTCCACGGGGCTGGGACCAACGGGGCGCCCCGCATTGTCCTGTGAGCAGCTTCGGGCTGGACTCCTTGGCTTGGAAACAGGCCAAGGGTTTAATTTGGTTCAGATTTTAGAGGACGGCAGGCGACCTTGAAGACTGGTGCCACCTGGAGGGCACCCGCCAGTCCCTGTGCCCTCTCCAGTGCGGGCTGCTCACGGAGCGGGCGAGCCTCGGGGAGCCTCGTCCCCCGGGGAACCCCAGCTGAGCCCAGGCACCCCCAGGCTCTGCTGGGCCAGGCTGCCGGCCTGTGAATTAGTATTAATCTCACAGGAGCCAACGCAAAGCACTGTCTCCTGGCTGAAGATGGGGAGCTTGATTCTCTCCTCTGGTTGCCTTATTTCAGGGTTTCTCTGGGTTCCTCGGAGGAGGCGCCTGCTCACACACGGAAACCAATCAGCCAGCGGCCTCCTGGCTGTCACCCGTCTGCCTGAATGCGACGTGCCTCCCAGAACAGGAGAGAAAGACCCGTGCTCCCTCTAAAACCACCCTGGCTGGTGTGGCTCAGTGGATAGATCGTTGGCCTACAGACCAAAGGGTCCCGGGTTCGATTCCGGTCAAGGGCACGTACCTCGGTTGCAGGCTCCTCCCTGGCCTGAGCCCTGGTTGGGGCTCATGCAGGAGGCCACCCATCGAGGTGTCTCTCTCACATCGATGTTTCTCTCTGTCTTTCCCCCTCTCTTCCACTCTCTCTAAAGTCAATGAAAAAATATCCTCGGGTGAGGCTTAAAAACAAACAAACGAGCCCCATCTTGCAACGACCCTAGGAACGGGCAGCCACGAGAAGACGGAGTGCTCGAGGCCGGTGCCGGCCGAGGGGTTGGGTGTAACGGGACAGTCCGGGCCGGTTTAATTTAAAGCACAGAGCGACGGAGGCGCTGTGCATGGCTCTGTGTGCGCTGGCTTTAACCCCCAGGGCCTCCTTGCGGGAGTTAAGTAACTGAGGACTGGTTAGTAGCCTAACGTGCCTGGTTAGCAGCCTGACGTAACCAACCCGTGCTGCGGATCTTGAAAACAAACACGTCAATGCAGTCAGCAGGACGGGCTCCATGCTCCTGACTCCACAGCGAAGGTTCAAGTAAAATCAAATGCAGGCAGGAAGCAAGCTGGTTAGGAAGTCGTGAGGAAGAGAAACCGGGTGCAAGTACGTTGGTTCAGACGTGCCCACGCGGCTGCTGTGGACGCGGCCGCGTGTCGGAGGTTAATGTGAAAGCTCATTAATACGAAACGACAAGGCCACAGAGTAAGGAGCCGGGGACCACTGTCCCACTGTCCCCCAATCACGCTCAAACACGCCACCAAAGACCCGCTCACGGCGACCGCCGCGCCACGGCTGAGAGTTCACGGAGCTTAGCCCCCCTCCTCCCACCGTGCACACGCGTCTGCCAACTCGACGCCACCGCGGCCCGGCCACGGCCTCCGGGAAGAAGGCAACGCCG